GATATGAGATGATTATAGCCAACTCGGCGCTATGCGCCTCGTTGGGTATCTATCATCTCATATCCAACGCGCGCTTGTGGAATAATTGTTAATTATCTCATGTTAGAAACAGTTCAATTGTGAGTACCAAATTTTGAAAGTTTGATGGATCTCAATTGCCTGTTTTTGCTCCACTGCTTTAGCCATTATTTTAAGTTATTTCTTACCGATTGTGTTGCTTGTTTGGTAGCACAAAATGTATTGCATGATAAACTACTTACAATTTTTTGTCGATCAATTCAAGGCTTCAACATCCCCTCTCAGCAAACCAAACACATTGACTGTCATCTGTACGCGGGGGGTGGGGAATTTGAACCTTGCTTTGGTGGGGTGGGGCATTTGAGCAAGAGATGTCAAGTCTTTACAGCCTAATACACCTGTTTTAAATGGAGGAATATTAAACTAAAAAAGTCTGTATTCAATAAGCAAATGGCAGAGAGAAACAATTTTCACATGAAAGAATGATGCTTACAAGTGAAAATCCCAACAGCAGGAGAAAAAAAACTCACAGATGACTTTGCTAAATTCTACAACATGCATTGATCACACTAGAAATCATTCAGTGGGTGGGAATTGGCAACTTGAACAAACCAATTTGCCCAAGAAGGTTGCCTGGGAGAGGAGGGGTGGGAGGGGGGATTGAAGCTTTGTGTTGAGTTACTGTGTGACTCTGGAAGGAGGGGTCATAGTCTGGTTAGGGTTGTGTTTGAGGGAAAAACCAACTTACTTGAACAATGCCTCTCTCCACTCAGAATTATGGATGAGTATTGAGAAAAAACTCTTACAGTAAAATGCTGGGTGGTAGCCTGGGATGGATTAGCATTTAACCTGGATGGACTGCCAATACTTGTACTCACTTATAACAGAAATAAGGGATAAGAGCTTGCAATTATGAGCCTCTTAGCTTGTAAAACTTAAACCTCACCCTCAGCATGTACTCACTGGCAGAAATAAGGGATAAGTGCTTGCAGTTATGAGCCTCTTCACTTGTAAGACTTGAGCCTTAACCTCAACATGTACTTGCTTATGACAGAAATAAGGGATAAGTGCTTGCAGTTATGAGCCTCTTAGCTTGTAAGACTTAAGCCCCCCCCCCCCCTCAGCATTTTATGCAGCAAATTATCCTTGAATTATTTCCAATGGAGTTGGATAATTTAAAGGTTTTGTTTGATTGAAATATTACACCTAATCCAGGAAACATCTTTACAGTTGAAAAACCCACTCTCATGTACTTGGTCAAAATGTTTTGCTTTTTGGAGGAGTATGTCCCTCAGCCCTACTTCCCAAGAATCCTGGAAAAGGTTGTTTTGTAAGTTTACTTACAATTGATCTTTCACCTATGTTTTCAGTTGGTCTATACCAATCCCAGAGCAGTATGCCTTTCAGTATTCTGACTATAACTATTACATAACTGAGGAGGTAAGCTACAATTCTTAAATCTGTAACCATACTTCTCTTTTTGTATTGCCACTGTTTAGTAGATCAGGATCTCTTAATATGCAAAAGGTCCCTGGTTGAAAAATTGGCTACTTTTTTTTTTTTTTTGGAACATTTAAGATCATGTGAGACAAGCTTTGAAAAGTTTAATGTAGATTAAACAACTATTCAGCAAACCCTCTTTAATGCAAGTCTCAGTCCCAGAGGGGATTCCCATGAAACGTAGCAGGGGTAGATTCAGGTACATTTTATCCCTTTCCACTGTAACATCAGCATGCATATTCTCCACAATGTTCCCTAATACATTTCCTTGGGTGCAGATAAGGAGAATTTTAACAATCAAGAACTTGTTTAGTTAGTGATCATTTCCTTTATTCTCCTGAACTTGATGTGTGATTCAGGACTGATATTGTAAGGAGAAATTAGATGCTAGTTACTATTCGGGGTCAAAGGGTTAATTGGGAGGGTAGGAGGGGTAGGGGGGTCCAAGCTTTTATTACAAAAAACAGAGACTGTTTTAAACTTGAGCCCTCAATTTCAAGATATCGTAAAATTCTGGTTATAAGCCCCCCACCATTTATAAGACCTGCTGGTTAAAGGCTCATCTACTTGGAAACAAAAATATTTATCAGGTTTTAACTCCCCCCCCCCCCCTATGATTCGCCTCCTCTAGTTTCGTTGTTTTCTTAAATTAGGATAACATCCAATTAACTGAGAGAATTAAGTGCAGGAAGCTTTGCCGCTGTGAACTAGTCATTAGAATTTTTAACAATGACAGCGAAGATGAACTCTGAGCTTCTAGTTTGTTGTGTTCTGGTTATGTTCATGTTGCTAAGTTTTGATTTTGCATTCAATTTGAAGGGAGGCTTGAAAGTTTAATTAAAAATTAAATCAAAAACATATTTCTATCAACACTGCTGTGGCTCATTTTAAATGTTTGTTGTAATTTCCGCTTATAAGCCCCACCCCAGATATAAGCCCTTCAGTTTATAAGCCCACCCAAAACCCCTTATGAAGTTGTATAAGCCCAGGGCTTGTAACCAGAATTTTACAGCAAGTAAATTTTCAATACTTCAAGTTGAGCAGTAATTAAAAATAAAATCCCATCATTGACCCAATTTTAGTCATAGGTCTGATGGGGGGGGGGGAGTGCTGTGGACCCTGCACCCCCCTGGATGTTCCACTTCATGGATCTCCTTTAGTTAACTTTCAATTTTTTAATTTTCAATAACTAATGAAAAGATGACAAGAATCCACATACATATCAGCAGGAGGTTGTTCTTTTGATGTTACACGAAATAGTCTTGGCTAATTTGCCAGAAAATATAATAATATAACATCTTGAAGGAACAATTATTGATCATCAGGTCCCAGTTATTTGAAGAGTGGATGATGTTATCCTCTGGATAACTCCCTCCCCCATTTATAGCGCAGTACTTTTTGTTCACACTCATCCACTGGATAGTGATTTACTTGTTGGATAGCAATATCCATCCTTTGAACAACTGGGGCTAGATCATCCTTGATCATCAGATCTTGGGCATTTGTAGTTGTTGATGTGGTTTATTGTTACCTTCCTTTAGAACCGCAGTGGAATAAAGAATGGGGCTGTGCTGAAACTCACACTCTCGCCGGTAAGTTATCCTAAGTCACAATTAAGGACTGGGAAGAAGTTTGTTTCAGAATATTTGAATGATTGATTGATGTCTGTTAGCTGCTCAAATGATAATTGGTTTTAAACACACCAGGCCAAGCGTGCACAAGATGTTGTTGAGCGTCTGGATTCAACCAACCCTGAAGAAAGAAGAAATGCTTTAGCAACCTTATCCAGTATCTCAGAGGTATGTGATTATAAATGCAGGTGATGTCTTATTTCAAGTAGAGCATTGAACTTTCTAAGTGGCATACTGTATTGTCAACCAACCCTCTTTTCACACAGATTTATGATTGTTTATTTTAATTAGTGAAATTTCAATGTTTTTTTTTTTTTTTCGATGGTAGGATCCAACCTTTGCCAGTGAGTATATAAAACGAAATGGCCTGGTTCTTCTTCTCAGCATGGTGGAAGGAAAGCCAGAGTAAGCTGATTTTTTAGAACTTTTCAACTTGATTTAATATTTGGTTGTAGCTAAGAAATAGGGGCTGCTGGCTAAAATCTCAAATGAGGTGGTCCAAAGATACAATGTAGCATTTGATTTTGAACAATAATAATATTGTTACAGTAAGTGAAAAATGCTGTTATACTTTCTGAGCCTTTACCAGCTAAAAATCTAACTGGCAATTGCCTCTAGTTTTCATAGGGTGGATTTTGCTAGCAGCTGGCGCTTAGTGCCAACCCTGCATTTGTGACATTGATTTCCATTCTTTTACAGTGAACCTCTTTACCTAGGGTCATTGAACAAAATTAACATAATATCAATGAATAAAGGCTGATAGTTTCTAAAGAAACTGTGGTGCTGCGTCGGTGTTAGCCCTTCGTCATCGCTCTGACGAAGGGCTAACACTCGAAACGTCAGCTTTTTTATTCGTTACGGTGGCCAATTTACAATTTCAACTTAGTTGATATAACCAATTCTTACAGTTTGAATAAAAGTTGTATTTATAAGCTCACATTTAATCAAATTCCATCTTCTTGCTTACACAACAGAGAAACCCACCACTGGCCCAAGCTCCAGACTAACACATGGTTCAAACGGTAATAGAGAAACTACTGCATATATAACTTTACTTCCGCTTACTGTTAGACGTTGATAACGTTATCTTATTTGCAACTGAATTTCTTTCGTTAGTCATTTCAATTTTGATCCATGTATCGATCTAGTTGATAAAGGACAGTACAACAAAATATAAATACATAAAGAGCGGTTTTGGATTGAGTGTCGAAAGCGATCGAGAACTGCTTTGGTACTCACTACACTTGGTGACTGAGTCTAAGACAGGCTTCAACTGATGATATAAAAAAAAATTTCAAACAAATCGCGAAATTAAATGGGCGCATTTTCATTTGTCCGGTGCCGTTAACGCGGTTCTACTCTGAGCTCTCATTGGCTCTTTGTAAATTTTTTCGTAATTCTGACAGGCATTAGTTTCTGAACCAATCAAAAGGTGCAGTTAAACACAATCTAGACGTTTCACACTCAATTAAAAATTCCTCTGAGAAGAGTAACTGATTTAGATGTAATCGTAAAATAACTACCGTGTCTCCTGTGCGGTTTTTACAGTGGATATCATTGTGAGTGCTGTGTTTTCTGGATCCATTGCTTTTGGAGCAGTTTTTGTATTGGTGTACTTTTTCCGAAAGAGGAGGATGGCAGCATTAAATAACGACAGTGAACACGGTAGGTTCAATTCTCGTTGCCATGTTCCCACCAATAACGTAGCTCCATTTTCTGCCTTTAAAAGCGCACATAACCCACAATTCCTCTATTCACTCCGACGAAGGGCTAACGCTCGAACCGTCAGCTTTTATAATATCGTAACGGTGGCCAATTTACCATTTCAACTTTGTTGATATATTGAAATTATAACATAATATCAAGTTCTAGTTAAATGAACCATGATTTAACTAGACATTTTTTATGCAGATAAGGGCCATGAAAGGGTCCACAGGTACATGTTGTTCATGACCATTTTTATCCTCTTGTTTCCTCAGGAGTAATGAGTCCTTGGCTAACTGCTTGACCTCTTTTCAAGAGCTGATGGATCATGGTGAAGTTTCATGGGATTTCCTTACGCATGGCTTCATTAAAAATGTAAGTGAGATGAGTCATGATTATTTTGGTGGATGTGATCATGGTGGGTCAAATCTCCCTGGCATAGGGAGTTTCCTGGTATGTCTACATAGGGGACTGATGATGCAGGTGTTTGCATTGAAGTGTAGCAGATTGAATTTCTCCATATTAAAAAAAAAAATGTTTTGAAACAAAACTGGAGATGCTAGAATTACTTTTGGTTGTGCCTTGCACAAATCTAAAGCATATTTCTGTCGCCAAACTTCTTGCTTTCTTCATGAGCATGCTGGTACATCAACTGATTGTTCAGCTAAATTCTTAAAATCTTGCTTTGTAGTTGACAGTTTTTGTAAACAAGAAGAATCCACCTGTGGACTCCACTGTACTCAAAAGGTGTCTATCTATCTTAGAAGCAGTGTGTACAAACAGGTTAGTTTTTCCACTTCTTGAAATACCAGTCATGCTTAGTCAAATATTACCAAGGTGCCTATTGGAAATTTTCAATATTTTCCCGAAGGAAATTCTGCTGTGTGGGCTTGATCTTGTAGTCCAAGAAGTCCAAGTCTATTCTACACTATTCAAATTAATACAGTATAAGATGACTTATATAACTCAGTGAAGAAGATAATGAGAAGTAGATGTCATGCAGGTTTGTATATGTGTACACAGTGACCAAAGTGGCCGTAGCTTTCGTGTTGGTCACTGTCCCATTTAAGTAAATAGAGAGGTCCAAGATACATCTTGGTTTGCTACTCATGCACACTCCACTCTGTAGGACTCCTGAAAGAATAATTTTCTTAAAAAACAACTGGAGAATGAACTCCACCTTTAGTTTTGTACTCCTTCTCAAGGGGACAAGTGTTCTTTTATTGCCCTTGAAAGTGATTTGTGAGGTAATTTTTGTTTCAAGCTTAATTTTGAATTGAAGTTTCTTTCCTTTTTCATTTCTGGCCATCAGCCCAACATTTTATCCACTTGTAGAAAAAGAAGTGGTCTTTGAGCATCTTATTCTCCATCTGAAAAAGTAAGTTTTAATAAAAATAGTAGTAATTTACTTGAAATATATCTCTGTTTTATTAAAAACTGGATCATTGGATGATGTAATTCAAGACTTTTTATTGGCTTAGCCATTATAGTATATGAGCCAATATACCATAATCTAATATCTATACATTGTAACATTCGGGTTCTTCTTACAAAATAAATTAGAGAAGATTTGTCTAATATCTTGGGGGCGTTTCTTTTTTTTATAAACAATTATTCCACTTGCGCTTGTTGGATATGAGATGATTATAGCCAACTCGGCACTATGCGCCTCGTTGGCTATCTATCATCTCATATCCAATGTGCGCTCATGGAATAATTGTTAAATAGAGATGAGTTAATTTTTCATTTGCAGAGTCCCATCAGTAGCATGTAACCTACACAAACTATTACAACTCTCAGATTCACACTAGAAGCAAAGTGTCGTGAAATAGATTTTCCAAACCTGCATGTTCATCATTGGATAATGCAATACAATACCATTGACTGGGGTTGGCTTATGTCGGGTATAAACCATTAAATCCAGGCCAAATTTATTTAGTAGATGCTTGTAAATCTTAATATTTCTTTCTGCAAAAATTATTCTGTATGTTGTGCCTTTAATTAAGGAATCACATGCTGCTATCTTTTAACGATAAGTGTCCAATCCCCAGACCAGAGATAAATACTGTCAATCTCTATCTTTTTGAATTTCAATTATTACTATTAATAAATTTTTTGGTAACTTTGTAGCGCAAATCAAGATATTCAGCTGAATGCTATAGCTCTCCTCAACAGCCTTTTCATGCGTACATCAAACAAAAGGGTGAGTTGATAACCATAAGTATACTAGACAATTGATTTTGATTCTAGATTTAGTTTATTATCGACGTGTTTCCTTATTGCCCTTCGTATGATAATACACTTAACGATACTGTGAAAAACCATATCAGAGCCAGTCATTTATACCTAAGAAAACGGGGGAAAAACTGCTCCCTTTTTTGAGTATATAATTTATGTACACTTACAGTAACTTTGAAACAGATTCCCACTGAGGAAAATGCTTCAACCCAGAATGATGAGACACTGACAATGAATTCATTTTTGGAGGACATTTTTTACTATTCTCATGGGTTTATGACGATGTGCAGTTGAGGTATTAACCAATAGTCCATTTTACAGTTGTGTGCTTGGTTGCCAAGCCTTTGAATGGGAGTGAGGCTAGGGTTGACCATGTTATGATACAAACCTTGCTGCCTTTCAAATGTAAATCACTTTGTTATCATGCTAACTAGATACAGGTCTCTATCACAACAAGGTCACCTTCAGCCTCACTCTGAATCAAAGGCTTGGCAACTAAGTATGTGTAAAATGGCCTATTGGAGGTTGTTTTCTCCAAGTCTAGGAAGTCTTGTGGTTGCAGCGTCGTTCATTTTGTGTTACAAAATTTCTCCAATCGTTCATTTATTTTGTACTATTTAATAAGATAATTTTTCATTTGTTAAAAAAGAAGGGGTTAGCTTTAAGTAGCAAGTGTTGAAATCTTCAAACGAATTTTATGTGCATGTCCGTAAGCAGTTTCAACCTAGTTTGATTGGCGCAGACAAAATCTCCATTGGTCGAAAATAGAGAAAACATGAGTCGATCTGTTCAAATCAGTATGACCTGAAATGGCTTCCTCAGAGGAACAACGCCGTTTCTTGAAGTGTCCTCATCTCATGCTAAAATGCCCCTTACCATGGTAATTTATTCATTTATTGATTTATTGATTGATTGATTTTTCAGCAATTTGTAGATACACTTTCAAAGAAAGGAGTAAGAACGTATATTATGAACGTGAGTCGAATGTTTTTCCTTGCTTGTAAAAGATACTTTCTTAATGAGCTGTAGATTTGAATTCGTGTGTGATCAGCGGGTTGTAATTGAGGAATTTATCCTCAACGGGTGAACTGCAAGTAGAAAAAACGAATACAGTCTACATTGTCGAAGCTTGTACCTATGCCATGAGTCATTGTTACTAACTAGGCTTTAAAGACGCATGTTCGGAGCTAGGAGAATTTTAATTTGTACCTTGTTCCCCTTGGGGGATTTGATCACCAACAAATATTGGATGTACTTTCATTAAATTCTGGTGAAGAGCACCAATCAAGAAAGGATCTTAACCCGTGAAATTTTCCGTTAATGGCACTTAGCCCAAAATGCGTTCTACTGAAGGAAATTTGAACTTTTTTTTTTCTTAGGATATTATCCGAGGTTCACCGACTATGAGAAGTGAAATGGAGCATCAGCTTTACGTGTACCAGTCCCTCATATTCCGCGCTCTTTTGGTAGATATGTCCCTTATTAAAGGAAATGCTCAGAATCAGGTTGGTGAATAACCAATGTCGATAGTGCTGGTAAACAAACTGATAAGTTGAACTAGCGAACGGACGAGCGAAAAGATTGACAAACGAACACTCGCACGCACGCACGAACGCACGCACACACGCACTAAAGCGCGAGCGAATGAAAGACCGAAAGAACTTGTGGATGTAAAACCTTGTGATTAAACAGAGTAAGGACTTAAGGGTTGGGGAGGGGAGGGGGATGAGAAGTGAAGGAAGGAGTGAATAATCGAGCAAGCGAATGAGAGAACAAACTAAAAACTGACGAACGGACCATAGTCCCCCTCTACTAACTATGAACGGACCAAGGAATAAATAGAAGAACGAACAAAAGTGAATGAGTGTAGAGAAGGACAGACAAACGGAAAGACGAGAGAGTCAATGAAGGAAAGACGCGAATGAATAAACAAGCGAAAGAAAGAATGAAACAAAGATGGGCGCACGAACTTTGGAGTGAACAGAAAGAGAAACGAAATGGTAGGCGAGTGTCAGGTCCACTGAGTACAAACGGACAAGAGCGCTGAAATGATAAAAGAATGAACGAAAAGAGAAAATGATAAGTGAACGTACTGACTGACGAATGAAAAGAAGGAGACTGATTGATAAACTTTCACTTGTTTTCCAACCTGCCAAATTCATATGTTTATTTTCAGAGTCTTTTTGAAAGTCTTAATACCTTGCGACAAGTAGTGTTTGAGTCAGATATTGTGGCCGCGAGCTCAGGAAGACCTCTTTCGCAAGCGGGAGAACTTTCCAAGGACTTCAAAAGACTTGGATTTATGGTGAGTTCACTTAGGCAGGCTTTTATCACAAATTATTATTATCATTAACCTCGATGTCGTTGTCGTCATCATGATTATCATTATTATTATTATTGTTATTATATTATTATTTTTTCAGATAATTTGTTAGTCGTCATTTTCATGTATTTTTCGATTTTTTAAGGATTTTATCTTAATTTGTAAATATTTTTTTATGATTAGAGGGAATTATCGTTATCATAGTGTGTATCCTCTAGTTTTTCTTACATTTTTATTAGACATTTTAACACATTTTTTTTTCGATTTTCAAGCATATTATCATAATTTTTGTTATAATTTTTGTGATTATGGTGAATAAAGGATTATTTTTATTATTGTTATTATTATTATTGCTCAGCAGTTTTATAAACTTTCTCTTAGGACATTGACACACCAGCAAATGACTTCAGCGAAGCTCCTCCCGGCCTTCTTCCTCTTCATATTATGGTTTATTTTGCGCGCAAACACGAGGAACAATATGTGAAGGTGCTCTAGCTAAAGCGTTAAAGTTATAGCTCTCTATCTTTCTTTCTGTGTGTGTGTGTGTGTGTGTGTGTGTGTGTGTGTGTGTGTGTGTGTGTGTGTGTGTGTGTGATGTTTGTTTGTTCTTGGCTTCCATTAACCTCTGTAGCAATCCTCACCAAATCTTGGCAAAGCATTAATACTTCAAACAATGTAAGTATGTTTGGCCGGAATGAACCTGTACTTGAAGTACTAAAATTTTCGTCTACTTGTTATGGCGGCCAAAGTGATCGCAGTTAGAGCGATGTAGATACATCAACCTTGATGTTGGTCCTTAATGGATACAGTTTAAATCATTTAATGTAAAAGAGTTTAGAACACCCTCTTTACGCTCTCGATGTCTCGGTGCTGACAAAAATTTGCAGGAGACAAATTCTAACTGCATTTTTTCACGTCCAGGTCATATTAGAAAACCATGCTCGAGGCGACGATTATGAGTGTCCATTTGCTCGCACCAGTATTGCTCTGACTAAAATGTTGTGTGATGTACTGGAAATTAATGCAGAACCACGTAAGTCAAAGAGTCAAACTTCATATTCTTTGCCGCCTGCGAACACCGTTTTTTGTTGTTGTTTGTTTTTTTTTCCGGCTATACACAGGCTTTCCCCACGGTTCTTGGAAGGGGGGGTGGGGGGGGGAAGTGAGAAGGACACTTAAGGGAAGTGTAAGTAGGTATTATCCACCGAGTTATTTTTTTTCCCGCTAATTTGTTGAAGCAAGCAAGATTGTTTAAATTGTGGCATCTTGAACTCAGGAAGCCTTGTCTAGTATAGTTAGTCACACAGAATTTTTGGCCGTACAACAAGAAAGTTAGATACAGACAAAATAGTAACACGTGACCAATAGACCGTGCATTAGTTCGCGTGACCGTGCATTAGTTCACACCCTGTTCAAAGCATCTTGGCCGGGTTGTTCAAAGCTGGGTTAAGATAATTTAGGGTTAGTGTGAACGCTCAGTGATTTCAGATCTGAAAGCTTTACAAGAAAAATCACTGTAATTATATTTGTCTACAATTTGAGGATTGGATGCGCTAAAAAAGAATAGATTATTATCCCAAAAAGGCTTTTGAATAAAGGAATAAAAAATCCCATCAGTATTAAAATTTAACTCTTGGTTTGTGCTAATCCGCCTTCGAACAGTTGGGTCCTGGTTAATAAGATAATTGTGGTATGTAATACAATTACATACCTAATCTAAGATTCAATACCCGAAAACCCTACCCTGTTTGGCAGGAGATGCCCGATTAGGAAATTGAGGGCATTTCCAGGGCTCGACACTAACTTTTCAACTTACTAGCCAAGTGGCTAGTGACAACCTAGATGTTACAACAATTTCAGTCTGTTTACTAGCCAAACTGACCTGTAGAAATCGAAAACCACAGGCCAAAACTGAATTTCTTCTAGTCTGTGGCTTGTTGGTTGGCTACCGTTAGTGTCGAGCCTTGCATTACTTTCTCTCGGGATCCATGCTTCGTCCCTAGGATGAGCAGGATCGAAGTTCTCATTCCTCAAGGAGAAAACGTATTAAGACTGATGTCCTTTCTCAATATCAGCGTCTGATTCCGGTAAGGAGTACTACCCAATATTTTTCACAATGGACTTTGCATTTGAGGAATTCTTTTGCATCTGTATTCAACTTCTGAATAAGACGTGGAAAGAGATGAAAGCCACTTCAGGAGATTTCAACCGTGTTATGCAAGTTGTCAAAGATCAGATCTGCAGAGGGCTCAAAGAGAAACATCTCTCCATGGAATTGTTTAGGGTATGAAAAACTAGTATTTAAAAATCGATTGCAAGATACTGATTGTGTTCGATATTGATATGTGTTTTTTTGTTGTTGTGTTTGTTCGTATGTTTTGGTTTGGTTTTGTGAACATTGTTCTCTCCTTGATTTATTGCCTGGTCACGGAACCAAATAACCCGTAAAAAAGTGCTTTAGTTTCGAGAACAAAAGACCGTGGAGGTCGTGGAGAACCTAGCAGATGAATTGAGGACTTGGCTATCGTTATCGATCATTATAACCCACCCATTAATTTTGGCGCGGTTTTATTGGTTACTTTACGTCACGTGGTGTAAAATCAAAGGACAGTTGTCACGCAATAACCCCCGTCTCCGTCGTTTGTCCTCCGATTTTTTCCATGAAAAAGAAACATTGTCAACACAAGAGTTTCAAATTTTCCGTTCTCCTATTTACATGGAAGGAAACCAAACTGTTTTTTTATTTTTTTTTTTTTAATTTTTGGCTTGCTTGCGTCAATCACGCGCATTCGTGATTGATGATCAGATCACCACTGGCTTTTTTTACTGCGTTTACGCGCAGTTTAATTGCGATGTGAAAATTAATGGGAAGGTTATAAAATAAAAAAACCCCGTTCTGGCTTGCTGGTATGTCGGCTGATAATGTCCTTGGCTGAGAGATTGTCCTCAAAATTTCATATTTGCCCTCGAAGCTTCGCTTCTCGGCCAAATATTCATTTTTCGGACAATCTCTCAGCCGCGGACATTATCAGCCGACATACCAGCCGCCCGAATGGGTTTATTTACCAAATAGTAGGAGTACTCGATAGAGCAGTCTAACCGTGTGGGTGATAGTAGTCTAGGGTGAGAGAGACCCTGAAATGGACTATTGTCGATCAAAGTGATTGACGTTTCTACAACTTTAGGGGAAGTAAACATCAGTTTCCATTGAGAGTATTATCTGCGAAGGTAATTCAGCGCTATTCTCACTTGCGCTTGCGACACTTGAAGGAATTACACTTAAAGGGAAAGTACGGTCTAGAAAAAGTGTAGTTATATCAAAAGTTCCTTGCTTGCATTGTCCTAACCGGCCATTCATTTGAGCTAAAAGCGTTTTAGTTGCAAACAATTACGTTCCAAAGATCGGCATTTTCAAATTGAAATCCGCCATCTTTGTTGTGACAAAACAATGACGTGCAATAGTCAAGCATGTTAAATTATATCCCTGCTGAACATCGGTGGATGTAAACAAGAAAAACAACGACGAAGAGAGCGCTAGTTCTTAAATTCTTGACTTGGATTACAATCTAGCCGAGAGGGTGTAATACATTTATATATGTTTCAAACGAAACATAATGATTAGAAACATTTAGTTGCCAAAACTGATGCAGAAGTTAATTGTTAATTAAATTTTGTTTGTTTCAGTATTTACCTTTAATTCGCAATGGTGTTATTATCTTTATTGCTTAGAATTACCTTCAATGCAGTATTTTTCATTCTAAAGCCGCACTTGTGAGAAGTAGAGCTTTGATATTTTCGACGCACGCCATAAAGTCGCCTCTGTCATACAGGTTGTTAACCATTTACCACAAATTCCCAGAAATTCCGGTTGGGATGTATATGGCAAACGTGTTTTAGTTCGTCCCATTGGAAAATTCCCGGAACAAACGGAAATTCTGAAAAGGTAGTCCCGGGGTGCTTACCATTTCGCCTAAAAATTCGGAAATTTCGGTTTGAAGTCAAATAGTAACGTAATTTTCCGGAAATTCCTTTCGGAATTTGTGGAGTACCTTCAGAGGTACTCCTCTTTTTCCATTGGGAACGGAAGGTCATAAAATTCCGTTTCCAGGCCTTTCCGCTTGGGTTGCCTTGGGTTGGAGCGGGACGAAACGCCTGATGGATAAATGGTAAGCTCAATCTCATCCCGTTGGTCCATGAATTCGGAAACTCCCTGACCTTTATGCCACGGTTACACCAATCGGATTTTTCTTACAAATGGTAAGCACCCTCTAACTGGGTAGGGGTTCTGTCTAAGAGGCCAGCGGCACATACCCAGCAAACATTTACCCGAGTACCCCACCCCCGTTTTGACTGTTTGGTCTTGTATGAATTTTTAGAATAAGGATGGAAAGAATAATATTGCATTTTTACGTAAAATAGAATCACAATCTGATATTATCGATTTGATATTCTTTCACTTTCAGGATCCCTTCGGAGAGAACGAGGGAAAGGTGGATTATGCGTCGATAAAATACAGACTAGATGCCATTAAGAGTCGTCTCGATGAGAAGAAGGTTTTGGGGCATGAATTGGATGACTCATCGAGTGAAGAAGAAGAAAAACAAACAAGAGAGGAGAATGCTGCAGAAATTGATGACTGGGAGGCCTTTTTATATGACGATGACTAATTGAAATAATTTTTACCAATTTTTTTTTTCAATTTCAATGTACAGGACACAAAAAGGATGTGGCAAACAGATGATCATTTTATAAATCATTTACACTGTTACAGGTTTCCGCATAAAAATGCAAGTTAATTAAATGATAAAGTAAGACACGAAATAATAATTGTTAGGCAC